CTACTAAAAAAAGTTGGGCTTTAAAGAAAACATATAGTGAGAGAAATATGTTGGGTGCCATTATTGGCCTTATGTTTAAACTTCTCATGGTTGGGTTACCAATGCTTTCTGGGTCACTGACCTTGAACAGGCATGCGATAAGTGAAGGCAATGTGATCCTAGAGCACATAACCTGCATTGTTGTTCTGTCTGCAATTTAACAGCCTTGCTTCCAAAACCATGGATGTTCAAGAGCAAGTACCCCTGCATTACTACAGGTCAGGATCAAAACAATGTGTTTTTTTATTCTTTCAGTGTTTGCAGAGACAGGAAATGGCAGTGCACAAACAAAGTATGTGATGGCACATGTTCAGCCATAGGAGTAGCCCATTACTTGACGTTTGATGGTATGAAGTATAATTTCCCAGGTGACTGTCAGTACGTCATGGTTCAAGTAAGTGTTAATCTGAAGTGGCATTGTCTGAAGTTGAATAAGAGAGTGAAAACCAAAAAAACAAATAAATAGCGTCTATGATTAATTTATAAGTGTAATTACATAAGGTGGTTTGTGTCTGTCAGCATGTACACAACATGCCAATATGTAACAACCTCAGTTTCCTACAAAGAAGGATAGAAATTCTCCTTTACTTTTCAGTAGATGTTGAAGTATTAAAATATCCTGGGCATCTAGCAATGTGTACTTGATGCCCATGTGCGTGAAATTCAAGGTTAATAATTCCTTAAGGGCATTACTGGCAGAAACCACATGATGGTACTTTAACCATAAATGTCCATGGTGATGTTTCTACTGAAGAAAAGAAAGCAATAAACCACACACATACCAGAGAATAAAATATCCAGAGCCTTATGATTAAGCAATCCACCAATTTAGTTTTTATATGTGGCTAACACTGTCATGATATGCAGACAATGCTCTGAAATTGACATTCTGTTTTTCTCTAGGATTACTGTAATGGGGGAACTGGATCCTTCCGTATCCTTATTGGCAACGTGGGCTGTGGTTTCTCAGGAGAGAAATGTTCCAAAAAAATTACCATTTACTTTAGAAATGGGGAAATTGAGCTGGCAAATGAACAGGTCTGTATTACCCATGGATAGATAAACAAGACGATAACACATTTATATCTGGGGTTGTTAGACTAGTTTGCCTTCTTTTCATCAAATATAAAAGGATATTCTGAAAAACAACTTCCTGTGTCCTTAAAGTGTATGTAAACCCAAAATCTATTTTTCAGTATGTTTGGCATCACATCTCACTCTATACAGTTTTCTTAAGCAGATAATATTTTTACTTGAAGATTCCCGTTGCAGACTGACAGTGCTAATGGTCAGGCTGCTTTGCATGCTCCTTCAGTTAGTCCTGGGCTGCCTATCATCAGGTCTATCATATAGGCAACCCAACAGTGAACTGAAGGTGCATGCCTAGCAGGTTTAGCATTGTAAGGTTTGGGGTTTACATATCCTTCATGAAGATTTTGGTTTGATGCACAGGATTCATGTGGAGAGAGCTGGACTCAACAATATTTAGGCCTCATTCACACGGGAATAGAAGGAACACAGGTGCAGAAACATCTGGCAATGTGTTCTTCAACGTACAAATTATTTTGTTTATTTTTAGCATTAGAAACATTATATTCTATAAGCATGTATGTGTATATGCACATACACACGTTTGCCTGCATACATGTGTAAAATACGCACAATTTACCACCCCCGGATGCAGCCCTGTTCCATTTTTTTTGGAGCACATCTGTACGCAACGTAAAAACACAGGTATATACGCAGCTGTGTGTATGGGGCTGTGTATTCGCATGTGCTGCATACAGATGTGCACAGAAAAAAGCACAGCGCACATCTGTACCAGGGACATGCGGTCAGGGGAGGCAGGTGAGACAGAGCTTCACCTAATACTATGGAGGAAAAAGCTGATAGCTTCAAGTCTGAAGCTGACAGCTTTTTCTCCATTCAGAGCGGCTTGTAATAACGCGGCTTGTAAGCGTCCTTGTAACCTGTCAAGGACGGAGCACTGCCTGTTAATTACAGGCGGCGCTGCATACGGCTTTTGACAGCTAAGTTAGGTTACACAGCAGCTGGCTTCCCCACTGCTTGTGTAACCTACCATAGTGAGGCCAGTCATCGGTGGGCTGGGGCGGTGCATCATCGGGCTGGGTACAGGGCGGCCAGGGTGAATGCCTCACCTAGCATGGACCTTACTGCATGTCACTGATCTGTACGCAGTGACTTCTACGCCCGTGTGAATGAGCCCTAAACGTATTTTTTGATCTTATGTTTTTTAACCACCCCATGGCATCCATGTATGGATAAACTGTCACATGCCAGTTACGCCTACTGCAAAGCATAAAGCTTACCTGTGTATGTTTTTTCGCCAGTGGATGGAGCTAGGATCCTTTGCAGGGAAATGGGCATAAACTTGCCGGTTATAGTGAGATTTTTATGCGTCCATAAACTAAAAAATGCTTTATGTTATTTATTTTTTTAAGTATTGAGTTTTCCTCTTGAATTTGAAGACAATTTGTGTGTGAACTACATCTCATTTATTCTTATTGGTTTGCTTCTCAGGTCACCATTAGAAGGCCGCTCAGTGACGAGACAGGTTTTGATATGCTCCAGTCTGGAAATTTCTTTATTCTTATACTTGGAAGTGAAATGTCTGTAACTTGGGACAAGGGAATGCGAGTTTACATCACTTTGAAAGAAACCTTAAGGGTAATACAGTTTCTTCAAATGTTCTTTTACTATTAACCAAATGTGGCATGCGTCTACAAAAATATAGAAGGCCATTTTATGGCTTGAAACTGCAGCTCATCTTCAGCTCATCTTACTAATACATTGGGGTTGAATATTTACAAAAGAAGAGAAGAAAAGGCAAACAAAAGCTTGGTCATGCACAGTAACCAAACAGAATTATCGTTTAATTTCCTCTTATAATAAAAAGTGAAACCTGATTGGATGAGTTTGGCAGCAAGCCTACCTTTGTTATTTTTTTTAACAGTGTTAATTAGCCCCTTCATTTATACCTGAGCCTCTATAAAAGCTATGGAATTAAAGGATATATAAATTCTAGCAATGAAAACGAGACCTTATTTTCTCTCTTTGGTCTTTTCAATAAACATTTTAAAGCATTTTGTTACTTTATATCCATAAGAGCAAAACAAATATGTCTTGATTATGGCTGATACTTTTCTGTGCTCTCTGCCTCTGCTGACTGTTATCTGTTTGTGTTGTTCCCACTTCTGTCTGTGGACTGCAGAACATCCGCTTTGTTATGGAAAGAGTAGAGGAAAAGGTGGGAGTTATCCTAGGGTGACAACACTCCGTATATACATTACAGTGTATAAAAGTTGTCACCCCAGGAAAGGAAGTGTATTTCTGCCAGGATCACTAGCTGAATATACAGGAAAAAAAGCCTGAAAGAGAAAATGAATGCAGCCAGTGCATCTAAGAACTCAACTGCAAAACAGTCATTTTTTGTGTTGGGGTTTAAATACACTTTAAAGCTCGAAATACACACTGGCAGATCAGGCTTCCAATGCCTCTGTTTCTTGGCTTGGACATCCAACTGACAACAAGTTTGAATGACAGCTAAACTTAGCAAATACTGATGTTTGGCCCACACTCTGATATGTAAGGGACTTTCAAGGGGTTGGCAAATGCTGACTTTCCTTCCATAGTCATTTAACCGGAAACCATAATAGTTTGCATCAATTCTATTTTTTAAGATTATACTGACATTTTATAGCTGTTTTTATAGAAATAATCTTACTAAGCATCCTTTCATACATGAGAAAGGATTCCTAGAGCACTATGAGTTATTTAAAAAGAGAACACAGTGGAACCAATCTCCTCACAGAAAAAAAATCAAAAAAGAGTTTGTGTGCATATAGGCTTCATCTACAGCCTCCAAATTTTCTCTTAACTGTGCATAATATTATTCAGCTGTCATTTTCTTAATCTAGGGATCAACTCAAAAACAGATATGGCTACCATGCAACTAAAAAACTAAATACAGATTGATATGTAGTGAATTATTCATCTTTCTAGCACAATAGAAATACGTTATTCCCCTACAGGTGCATGTGTTTAAGTAACATAGAAATATAATACACACAATTAATAAACTATGTCTTAAACCTGCAAAGTTTGGCTGCATATGATCATTTAAAGTGTGATCAGTTTGTGATATAGGTGTCATGTCTTGGTTACAATTTATGTATTGTGTCACAAACTGTTTTTCTTGAAGTGTTAAAACTAATGTCAGCCAAAGTGTGACTGTGATTGACAGCAAAGCAACTTCCTCAATGTGTTTGACTTGACCTAAGAAATATACACCGCAAATTTTAATTCCCACTAAGCTGTTATTTATTACTCCTAGAACTGGCTGTTTTAGCCTTTAGTGATGTCTGAGTTGAGTGGCCTAAGCATTAGCTCTGAGCACTCTTATTTAAAAATGAAAAGCAAACAAACCTTAGGAGGTTATTCATGAAGGAGCCAAAGGATTCAGCCATAGCTTCTGCTGATCCTTCGGCTCTCTTCGGCTGCTGGAGCCTTTCGGTTCAGTCGAACCAAATGGCTGCTGTACGGGCTATTGACTATAACCCGTAGAGCAGCCGAAGGCGGCTGAGCGGCTAGGCCGAGCCGAAGGCATATGCTTCGGCTCCACTGAGCCGAAGTGACACCCGAAGCAGGGCGAACGGCCTGCTGAAGGCTGGCCGTAAGCCCCGCAAATGACAGCTGGCAGTGAGTGAGCAGAGCATGTTTGGCTGGCTGAAGTGCAGCCGAAGGCAGTCCATGTACGGCTGATTTCAGCTGATGTATGGCTGAAATCAGCCGTACTGAGCCGGAGTGAAAAGCCGAATGTTGTTTGGCTCACATCACTTCGGCTGGGTCATTCACTCGGCTGCCTTCGGCAGCTTTGTGAATAGCCATTTTTGAGTGAATGTCATGTAGCGGATGGTCTTCACTGGTGCATAGAAAACTGGTTGCACCATGACATATGAGTGCCATTCTGAATACCATGTACCTCGCATTTAAAAATAAATACAAATAACAATATTATAAAAACATATTTAAAAATAATCAGGGTATACATTTGTAAACTTAAAAGGTTTAACAGAAGTGTTATAGTTACCCTGCAAATCCTGTGTTAAGTTTAATAGTGATTCTTATGTTGAAACTAGGTAGTGCTATTCAAATTGACATGTGGGAGAATTTGAGCACAATTTCTATTTTTATTCCATTACTTATATTTGTTTATAATTTTTTGCAAATGTAAATCATTTAATATAAATCAAACTAGAGGTCTATAAAATTGAGTGCTTTAAAAGCAAAGGAAAAAACAACTCTATATTTCTTTCAGAAATGTTGAAAAAGGAAAGAAATGTAAGAAGAAATATCTTCGTTGTTTGAGAAAGCCTGACATTTTGCTCTAATAATAAAATAACACTTACTAAAATATTTTTTCTGTTGGTTTAACCAATGTTGACTTTTTTTCTCCCAGGAGAAAGTCTGTGGTTTGTGTGGAAACTTCGATGGAATTGAAAACAATGATTTAGTAAGCAGTCATAATCAGGTGGAAATTAACCCAAGCAACTTCGGAAATTCTTGGAAAGTGAATCCTCTTTGTGCTGATGCTGCAATGGTGAGTCCAAAAGACTCATTGTTAAATAAGATATTTTATATGTAATTGTTTTTACAATTGTATTGGTTTTTTTATGTAAAGACTTTTGAGATACCAAAATAGGTTTAGAGCTAAAATTAAAATGTGTATATTTTAAAAATAATCACATATGAGTGTTCCTATATATCATTGTAAGAACGAATATGGCACATAGGTTTTTTGTAATGCTTTATTTTAGAAATTAGATTAGTTTATTAACCTTTTTAGCCTGAGTCTGTTTTACATATTATTTCCTTTTAAAATATGTTTTCAAATGACTTTGAGTGCCATTGAATGGTCAATAACATTAGTATTTCACACTCATATTTTTGTTATTGATTTGACTTAAAGGATCAGTCCACGCAAAACTGGCAATCAGTTTGTGTAGTGTATGCAAGAAAGTTAAAAATAATATTATTTGTTTATCCTTCTCAAACACAATGGTGATAAGGTCTTCTGAGTAACCAGATATACACACATGCCTCACTAAAAGGAGGGGCCATCCTTCATGTTAGATTTCTAATCTATTTTATTATACAGAGAATTTAACAGTGAGCTTGTCAACACCACATAATAGACAGAAATACCCTAAACTCTAAAAGGCAGTTGGCTAAAACTAGTTCTACATATAACTGAAATATTTTGGGTGGCTTGACACTGTAATATTAGTGTTAAACTGCACAGCGGGTCTATTGTTAGTGTAGAAATACAAAAGTGGTCACCAGCATTCCAAAGCATATTCTGTCAATTCTTCTTTAATGACGAAAGAAAGGTATTTCACAATGTGTAGAGACATTTCAGAACCATTTCAGTCCCTTCTTCAGGCAAACAGATTGATATTGTTAGTGTAGCGCTCCCCCTCAAAGGAGCTGCTGGAATACACGGGTTCTTCTGTCCCCAAACTAGGATCCATAGCACACCAACACACCTTGTGGGGTTTTTGTAGAGTTTTATTAAACAATAATTGCACTAAATAGGCATTAAATACCAGTCCCAATAGACTTGGGTGCCTAACCCATTGGCCAGTGGTAGTAACTGTGGGTAGCCAACGGTGGGGTCCAATGTGCAGCTTGTAAAGTGATCTGAGGTGCAGTGATGTGGTAGCCAATGGCCTCTTACCAGTCCCTGGGCTTGATTAGCAGATCCCGAGTCCGTCAGCGAGAGGTGGGCGTCCCCACCTTCTCCAGCCGACTTCCCTTGGTCTTCACAGCAGTTGGTATGCAGAGAAGGACAGGTCCCAGTCCCTGGCAGTAGTAGCACAGCTTTTCTGGGAGTCCCTCAACAGTGTGAGAGTTGCAGTGTCACAACGGGTCTTCCGGTCACAGGATCTGATGATTCATCCAGGCCGCGGTTGCCCTCTGTACTGGGTCTCCAGTCTCTCGCTGGAAAGGAAGGTTCAGGGGACACTAGGCAAAACAGACCGGGCAAAGTCTTTCTACGGGTCTGCAGTGAACATCTAACAGAGAGCTGGGCAAATCCATACAGGATTTATGGCTTCCCCTGTAACAGTCACCAGCAGCACAGAATGATAATATGACTGCTCTATCTGAGACCTCTCTGCTGACTGAGCGCGCTCAGGAAACTCCGGCCCAGCTCTCTCCTCCTGCTGAATGCCAAGCCTCCTGGGAATTGTAGTTTTAAGCAGTTGCTCACAGCACAGTTTCTTCCTGGCACTAAACTATCAATCCCACAAGTCTCTGAGTCTCACAGGCTGCACAGTAACAATTAACTATTTACAGGCAGAATTAATTTAATCTTGTAGCAACTCAATGGGGCCTATATTAGCATTCCCGTCTTGCTCTGGGTACTGGGATTTAATTGCACCTGGGACACTTTCTGCATGAAGTTTGTATGTTCTACCCATGTCTTTTCCTACATATCAAATCATACTGGTACTGGACATTAGATTGTGTGTATGACTGTACTAGGGATATTTGACAGTGAGCTCCTTTAGGAGTCAGGAACTGGTGTGAACATATCTGTCTGCTCCATAAACTCCTGCATAATATGCTAATGCTGTAACAAATAGTTAAAGTATATGCCTAAGCAAAATAAATATAAAAACATATTCAGTACATCTCTGCAATACATGCACATTTCCCCATGTTTTACCCCTTTAAAAAAAAAGTAAAGTAAAATACTTGTTGAGCTGCAAAAATTCACTGTGCTCCTAATTTCCTGGTTGGGCTGACAACAAAATACTGATTCTGCACTGAAAACCCAATCAGCATTGTCGGTCCAGCCTGCTGACCTACCACAGTCTGCTTATCCCCACCCCTCTCTGTCCCACTCCACATGTTTGCATTGATGTCTTTCCCAGCAATGCTGTTGCCCTGGCTCCCAAACACCTGCCCACACACCGTATTCAGGCAAAGGTTTTTTTGGGAAGTAGTTTTGAGGGATACATATATCAATAGTGGTGATGAGCCAAACAAACCTGGGTGTGGGCTCAAACCCAATTGAAGTCAATTTTGAGCCCAACCAGTATATAAATAATGGCCATTTTCCAGGCTAATAGGCATCAAACAACGCCAACCGTAATCTATCGGAACTAACCTCCCAGCAGTTGACCCTGCAAGAATTTTACAGGCCTGGTAACGATATCACGGAAGGTAAAACAATCGATTTATTGCTACAGGAACAGGCAATGGCTGAACATATTCTTTAAGCTAAACTATAGGATATTCCATGAAAAATAAAGAAAACATGCATCTAAATGAAATATATTCAAGTTTTATGATAACAGAGAATTCTGTAAATGTGCCAATTGTCATGATACTGATTATTCTCCTTATACAGTTCTCTGCAGCAGTGTCCATGCCCTTCTGCCAAGACAATGTTCTGAAACAGGCAGCAGTAGAACATGCCTGCAGCATCCTGATGGGTGACATCTTTCAAGCATGTGAGAAACTGGTATGTATACATGCACACATCTGAATCAGCTTTGGAGTAAATCTAAGTCCAGAAATAACACATCCAAACAATTTTTGCTACTTTCTTCTGCAGGTAGATCCAACACCATATTATGAGATTTGCACATATGACACGTGCACTTGTGAATCAATTGGTGATTGTGCATGCTTCTGTGATTCTATAGCAGCCTATGCACATGCATGCACTCAGAAGGGAGTGATCGTGCGGTGGAGATCATCACAACTTTGTCGTAAGTAGTAAAGAGCGTCCACCTCTCTATCTCACTGAATGTTCTGCTTTAATCTTCATGACCACAATTGTACCAGCGCAAAATGTGACAAACAACAACAACTAATGGGTCACAGCTGGTAACAGCAGGCTCGGTTGACATTTTTTTAAAAGGGCAGTGTAAATAAAACTGATATTTCTTTAATGGGTGGACCTTTATGGACTTGACTGCTAAGGATCATAGTTAGCCTCTGACATGTAATTTGCACAATTTCCATTCCCTGCACTCCCACCAGCAAAATACATACTAGACAACTTTAATTTTTGGAAGGGTAATGCAGCAACTTTATTGACATTTTCATTCCATAACTCTTTAATATTGTACTGTACATTAATTTGTGCCAGTCACAGATAAACTGTGAGCACCTACACAACAAAAAACTTATGAAATAACATAGACCACCTGTCTTCATCATCAGTGCTAGACAGGTGTGCAACCATCAAGGAATCTTCAGCAACCTTTATTGTGGTAACCAATTGAACAAAAACTGGCAACAAAGCTAGGAAAGAGGGAGGGTGGGTATTCATGTTCAGCTGTCTGGTCAACTCCAAAGAGGCCAGTGAGCCCACCCAGCCTTTTTAACACCTAGCCATCTCTCTGCCTATGGCTCCTTCTTCACCAGTCAACAAGCATTTTTGCCTGCATACATGGAGGGTCCATGCTACCGACCCCTCCCTGTTTCATGATTCCAGCAGCTAAGTCTCCCTTTCCTTAAAGGTCTATGGACCTTTAAGGAATCAACCAGTTATAAACCAGTGTGATAGGGACTCCAGAAGCAGAACATCTTTATCAGAGTTCTCAAATGAAAGCAAATCTGTACTCAGACCACATATGGCAAAGCAATGTGTTTGATACCTCTCAAGCAGCAACACTCACCTTTTATTTGCTCTCCTGCTGCTCCGTTCATCCACCAACAGTGAAGACAGGAGGTTTTGCGTACACTCCAGGTTGATGTGGTTAAAGCTTACACAGTACTAAGCACTGTCTGCCCAGCCCTATGTGTCAATGCTGGACAATCACTAAGCACCAGTGATGTTACATGAGAGGAAGGGGAGTAAGTCATACCTGGAGGTACAGGGTATTTTCTTCACTTCCAGCAGCTGAACAAGAGTGTCAGGGGAGCAAAAGAAAGATGAGTGTGTGCTGCTGGAGGATTAAGAATTAAAGCAAACGTGTTGCTCTTGCCTGCATAAATAAAGCACTGGATTGCTTTAAGGTAATGCAAGATAAAGTAAAAACATATCAAGGAGAACCTTTGTAATGCCAGTGGTGGGTGGGTGGAGCTGGGAACTGAGTATTACAATCTCACTACTAGAGTTCTATCCAGATATAAGAAACTGAAGGGTGAGTAAAATGTTTGGTGGGTTGTCCGGGATAGAGGCGAACACCTAGTGAATACAAGCCCTAAATACTGATGAAGAAAGACTTTTAGGAAACTCCAGGGAGTCTCTGGATGTAGGAAGGTCTTGTAATTTTGGTAAAAACACTTATTCTCAGATACTAAAAAGCAATTAACAATTCTGCATTAAATAAAATATACATACAACAGCCCTGAACTCTTCTGTTCAGTTCCTATCAATAACTGCATGACGTTTGCACAGTCTTTCTGTACTCAGCGACTCCTGCACCCCCCCATTTCTTGTTCTGGTAGGGAGATGTACCCAATAAAGACACAGACAGCAATACAGATGTGATAGATGTTCTGACTCTTACCTACTCTGTCAAAATTTTTTACAAATGGTTTAGTTGAGCATTAGCTGTTTGAGAATATATGTGTTTGAGTTGTGCTCACAGGGTCTAGCAAAAAAAGCTGGCATTGTATGAATAAATATAGGGCTCACCCCCTAAGGAGCCGCTGGATGAACGGGTCTTCCATAGCCTAACTAGCCCCAGTAGCACTTACCGCCCTCTATGGCAACTGATAAAGCGAGATCCAGCCTGTAGCTACAATACTGAAGGCATCAGTGTGAGCACATGGATTGTCCCCTTGCCAAATAATAGTCTACAGCATCCTCCCCTCAGGCAGGGCCCGGGGAGAGGAGGAGAGAGCTCACATGGTCCACCCCAAATATTTATGTCCTCTCCCACATGCACCACTGGCCATGGACATCCTAGTGATTAGCCAGGGAGATATAGATACTCATAACAATCCCTTATTGGTTGCTCTGCTCTGTGGCAAGGATGCACCCAGCAGCAGGCAGATGCAAACAATAACAGATTGCATAGGGGAACCAAATGAGCATACCCTATTGATCAGCATCAGATTGAATACAATCTGACAATACTAAATGTACTAAGCACTGCTGCTTCCAGGGTGCTACACAAACATATCACATTCTGAATTTTCATAAGTTAAATGTAGGAACCCAAACTCTGATATTTTATATGGACATTAGACAAAGATGCTATATCAGGCTTATAACTGTGTTCTTTTCTCCTATATACAGCTCAGAGTTGTGAAGAGAAGAATGAAAAAGAACTGGAGTATGTGTGTGAATGGAGATATAATAGTTGTGCACCTGCTTGCCCAGCAACCTGCCAACACCCTGAGCCTTCAAACTGCCCTCTAAAATGTGTTGAAGGCTGCCAAGCACACTGCCCACCTGGTAAGTTTTTCATTCTTGTACTACTATCACATGAGCTATGGAAATTCGATCATGTATTCCTGTAATAAAATTATTTGTATGGCATAAATCAATCTTTTATATATTTTTTACATTAATGGGGTAAAATCTTAGTTCACAAATTAACATGTAATACTAAGTGATTTCACACTTGTATGAAGAGTATGAGGGCTTTCTACTAAAACAGCCTTGCACTGCCAGCTCACTTCATGAGATCTTCTCTAAAACCTCCAAAATATTTAAGTACATTTAACCTAGAAGAGCTGGAGGGATCAGAGTCCCTCCTCTTATTCATTTAGATGTGTAATGTGCATGTGTCTGAATAGCAAATCAAATTGGAACAGCATAATGTGAAAAAACAGCAAAACAAATGGAAAAGCACTAAAAGCACTTTAAAACAAATCCTCATTTACCTCTGTAGCTAAAAGCATTGCGGAGAAATTCATCTTAAATGTTCACAACAGAAGCACTAAAGTCACACCTTCTTTCTCCTTATTTTCTCTGGAGAACAGGTTCTTGCCAGCCTGCCAGCCTTCTAATTTAAACAGTCAGCAGGTTTTTCCTAGCTGTCAGAAACAATGTTTAGAGTCTTGTTGTGATCTTTAAGAAGGAATTACATCTCAGTACAAGCAGCTAGAGAGGTTGGTGATGGCTTGTTTTAAGGCTATTTCACTACTTGTTAATACTTCAATAACCACAGTTTGGACACAGTTGCTCTTTAAAGGAATTTAAATCTTTCTCTGTCAAGAAGTTCACCCTTTAGTTCAGAACCAGAAAACAAGTTTGATCACTAGGCTTTCGGTACACTTTCTCTGTACTCTAGCTTTTCTCTTTCTTTCCTCATTCTCTCTTGTATCTCTTCTACCCTGTCTACCCACCCTGTTCTGTTTTCACTTCTCTTCTTTTCTCTTACCCAAATGCATTTTTTTTCATCTGTACTCTCTCTTCTCTCTCTCCCTCCCCTCTTTCATCTATCTTCTTCCCCCTCTGGGCCCTCTGTGTCAACAGGAATATATGGACCCTAAAGAGGCCAAATGGAAGGGTCTAACAGCAACCCACAATGGGGGATTGTCTTTTGCTGTGGTTTCAGCCCTCGGTTGCACTTGTAGTGGCAACATATGACAGCAGGCAGAAATGAAGTGTGGCACAAAATCGGCAGGCAGGATCATGGCCAAACAGGCAAAAGGTCAGGGCAAACAGATTCAAAAATAGTAAAAAAACCGGCAAAAGGTCAGGGCAGGTGGACAACAAGGATCAATGTGAAACAGGTCAAGGTTGTAAATGGGTATCGGCACTGGAATGGTCCACCCAAAAGAAAAGCTTCAAGCTTTGGTAGATGCAGGTTAGTTACACCTCTTCAAGGTGGGCAAGAACAGAGCCAGAAACTATGGCCAAGAGATGTTACTTACAGTCTCTGAGAGATATAAGAAGCAGGGAGGTCAGCCCCACCAAACTCCAACTTATTACAGAAATATCACTTTTTAGTGGAGGTCCCTTTAACACCATGATGAACAGCCCCCATGTTGCTAGAATAAAGGTTGAATCCTAAATGACATGCTGGCTACTTCGCTGCTTGTTCTCATATGGTTGAACATCTAAGATAAGGATTCCAAACAGTGGAAACACTATGCAAATGTTCAAGCTGCCCCATTATTAGCAACAGTTGAAGGAAACCGTAAGAAATAATTTGTAACAGCCGAACAGATGGCTGTTTAATGGAATGGATGAATATTGCTGGCTGCCACTTCTGAAAACAAATTCCAACATCTATAAGTGTTTGCAAATAACTTTTTATAGGGTGGGGAAAGAATGCTTTTACTGGTTATCTAACTATTTTCTTTCCCCATATCATTCTTTTAATAAAGAATAACTTGCATATTTTTTTAGTTTTTACATTTTGCACGAGTATTTTTAGAGCACCTATATACCAACAGAGTTTAGCAAGTCATTTTAAGCATGTAGGAGCATTGCAAGTGCTTGTGGAGACTCTCCAACACACTGGAAGAGCTCAGTTACTGTTGAAAATGTTTTCATCTTTCTGTATAGAAAAAGGAGTATAAACCAATGCCACTCTCACATTCATTCTGAGAAATAATAAAAAGAAGGTATTATTCCTGTGGCACAGGGGTGTGGGCAAGAGGAGCTTTCGTCACTATTAGTCTCCTGATTAGCGGGCTGCTTACTGCTGAGGCATGCAGAGCTCAAGAGTGTTCCGGAAGACAGGCTGTGAACTGTCCTTTTAGATCATGTGACGCACTCACGATGAGAGGAACAGTTGAGTGAATTGCCTTGCTGTGCCTGTGTATTTGTGGAGACAAACAACGCATATTAGCACACACATGGGTGGCTCCATAGAAGCCCACAAGGGAAAAGAGCCATCCTAAAACAGGACATTAGGGCCAGTGCTTAGGGGACCGGCTGATTCTGCCGGAAAATAAAACTTTTACACATTAAGGAGCAGCACCTATTATTTGTGATTTAATCAGCATATAAAATACAGTAGCTTAAAAATATTTTGACATTATTGTCATTTTAAATTAAACCTGGGCTTTGTTGACATTGTTACAGTTGACATTGTTTTACCTGGTTTCAGAGAAAACTTAGTTTAGGTTCTGTGTATCTCCAGAATGAGCATTTTTTAGTCTCTTTAATATTTTGTTCCCCTCAGGTAAAATTCTAAATGAAGTATCAGAGACATGTATTGACCCCAAAGACTGTCCAGTATGTGTGGTCGGTGGTCGCCACATTCCACATGGGAAAAACATTTTTCTGAACCAAGATGACCCCAAAAGTTGTCAGCAATGGTAATGTTTAGAGCCTCTGTATGGGGCATAGGCTGTGTTTTTTTTATATATATAATAAAGACTGAGCAAATGTGTCTGCTACTCTCCATTTTCCCCACATTTTCAAAAGTTAAACTGTGGCACATGAAATTTCACTTTAACTATGTTGCTGTTTTTGTCTGCTTTGGGGAGATTTTGCCTCGCTCCCTGTCCTAGTGACACCCACTGTCACCAGGACAGGGAATGATGAGAAATTTTACCAAGGGGACACAGGGCCAGTAAAATCACTTATTTTTTAACAGATATGGGAAAAATTACATAAATGGGATTTTATTTCTATCTTTGATACCAATTGGGTCATTTCTTTCACTTCTTGTCCTGGTGACAGGCAGTCTTGGGAACACGAAGTGAGGGGAAATTCCCCCCAATAGGGATTCAGAAAGCAATAAAAATCTAGCAAAAAAAATGGTAAAATTAACTTTAAAAAACTACATGTTTGTGTATTTGGAGGTTGTGGGTATTTTATGTTGTTTTTAGGGTAGGTTAGCTTGTTTCTTTTGGTGTTTGTGTTTTTTTTCCATTTATTTTGGTGTGTGTGATCAATATTTTGTACAATTACTTTAAATGTTTTATTTCACCTTTTTCCACTGTCTGCTTTGAAGTAAAAAAAAAATAGTAGTATGATAAGGTTAATGAAGGGTCATTTTATCGGCATAAGAACAGATTCGGGATAGCTGGAAAGAGCTTCCATAGCCCTCGAGAGCCATTTAAAGCACACAGTACAAACTACCAAAAAACCTCAGGATTATTCGCAAAAGTGGTGAAGAGTTTGTAGAAGGTAGTAGAAGTGAACAATCTAGGCCAAAATAGTTGTTTTGGAAAAATTCTCCAATTCAGCTTTCTTTCCAGTTCAGCTATGTTGTCCTAGATTGTTCACTTCTCCTGCCTTCTCCAAACTCTTCACCCTTTTGTTAATAATCCTGTATAATTTCTCTTTCCCCATGGCCTCCAAAGCATTTCACAAAAAAGGCCACATTTTTACTGAAATTTTAGGGAAATTATGACTCTTAATTTTGCTCATCCCTATTACTCCATTAATCATTTTACTGATGTCAGACCAGTACAAGATTGATTCTAATTGGTTATTACAGTTGTAATTCTTTGCATTTAGCACCTTTTGATGAATAAGCAAATGAATCATTGCAACTTGTATGAATATTATATTTTATATGTCTCCAGCCATTGTGAAGATCAGACTCTACTGTGTATTTCTTGTGAGACCGACCACAATATGACCAGTCCTGCCCCTACTGAGGTGGTGACTCCAACTTCTGAGGAGGAGGAGGAGGAAGTTACAGTACTGCCAGGGACTTATACCTGTGAGAAAGCCATGGACCTGGTTTTCCTGGTAGATGGCTCTTCAAAACTGTCTGAAGCTGAATTTGAAATTGTGAAGGACTTCATCGTCAGTATCCTGGAGAAAATCCGGATCTCACAAAAACGTATTCGCGTGTCTGTAGTCCAGTATTATTCGTTATACACACCAAAATTATTTCATCTCAAAGATAAATTAAAACTCACTGACATGGTTAATAAAGTAAAAAACATGAAGTACTACGGAAGTTCAACGGCTTCAACTTTCGAGGCCCTTAAGTATGCTTCTCACTACGTGTTTCCAGAAGCTCCAAGGGACAACGCTCCAAAAATGATTATGTTACTGACAGCCAGCAAGAACCAAAAGAGCATAGGCAGTTTATTGAAGGCCGTAATGAAACGTAAAATCACTGTGATTCCAGTCGCCATAGGACCTAATGCCAACATAGAAGAAGTCAAATTAATTCAAAGTAAATCAGTTCACAACAAACCATTTATTGTACCAAATGTCAAAGACTTGCCTGGCTACAAAGACAAGATCATTGATTATTTGTGCGGTTTAGTACCTGAACCGACAACAAAGACTCCCACGCCCTCGACTCCCACTACCAAACAGCCGCATGTACCTTTGACTCCTGCACCGTTACCACCTGGTAAAGAACTTTTCTTTCTAATTGAAACTTCTAACAACATTACAAAAGAAAACTTTACACAGACAATAGACTTTCTTGAGAAAATAATTCATGAAATGGATATGAGTAAAGAAGTCATATATATTACAATTATCCAGTATTCATACACTGTGACATTGGAATACAGGTTCACAGGAAGAGAAACAAAGCAGGACATGATTCAGAAGATCAAAGAGATCAGATACAGAGGTGGGAATGCTACCAATACAGGGCAAGCCTTGCATTACATAAGCCATGGGATGTTCAGGAAAGGCTATGAGAGCTCCAGCCAAGTTCCTCGTCTTGTCTACATGATTCAGTCCAACCCTCCTACCGATACGATAACCAAACCTGATGGGGATACAACTGTTACTCCTATTGTTATTGGTCAACCTATACCACAATTAAACATCTTCAAGAACTCCATAAACCTGGGAAAATACGACCAGCTTCGTAATATAACCAACTCTGTCATCAACAATGTTGCTGAACCTGTCCCACCAACACTACGCCCCATCCCAACCACAACCCCAGGTAACATTGGTGGAACTATATGAAATTTACTTTTAAAGGATATTTTTAGCCCAACAGTAAAACGTACACTGGGAATTGTTTTACCCTGCAGAATATTTGTGAACCAATGCATGTACTAGCTAGTAGTAGTTAGTAACATTCAACAAGACTTGTTCTGTAATGTTGAAGTGGTTTTGCAGCTTATCCAAGCCACTTCTTCAGTTCTAATGAGTGTCAGGAACATACCCCAACATTTAAAGCAAACAGATAACTCAGTCACCTTAAGCCAATCACAATGGAATGTGTCAAGGCAGATGTTGATTGTCCAAGAACAGGATAGGCGTTATGATAGTTTTGTGATATAATAACATGATCCAATTCAGAGGTACCATGAAGTCTGAGACACGTGTTGTGAATGCATGTTGAGCTTGTCAAGAATGCAGTGTCCTTGTCAGGTGTTTGTATGATTAAGTGCTGCAGCACATATTTTTTTTAAAGGGAGGTCATTAAGTTGAAGTTCAGTCACTCTCTACTGTTTTCCAATATGTACTCACATCTTTCCTTTCCCCCTTTTTCAGCTGTTCAACTGCCATGTACAAGACCCATGGATGTGATATTCTTATTGGATGGCAGTATTAACATCAAGCAATCTGAGTTTGAACTCATGAAAACATTTGTCAAGAACTTTATTTACAAGGCAAATATTGGTAAGACTGGCATTAGCACATTAATATATATAGATTTAAAAATAAAGTTATTTCTTAATTGACAACAGGTTGAGCAAATGTTGTAGTGCTTCTGAATATAAAGTATATATATATATATAATTCAAGGATTCAAGGACAATGGAGCAGTGTTGAGGTTAATCACATGGGATTTATCTACACATTAACCCTTTTGTGACCGGAATTCATGCAGCGTCAATATGTGTCAGTTAACTTGCCAATAATTCTATGGCTAATTTGTCTGTTAGACAGGCGGTCTGAGAACTAGGGACACACACAATTCCACGTAATCTGCTGCAAGGTTATTTAATGCTTTCTCGACAAAGGGCATTTTACATTTGGGCTTAAAAAGGGGTAATGTGGTCACAAAGGGTTTAACTTAACAGCTATTTGGCCTTGATCCTCCTCTCTCAGGGGCCAGTCTCTCCTGTACACTGCTATAGTGCAGAAGCTCAAGTCCCCAACCTGTCCCCTGTTATGCTGGTTTTTCAAATACTGCATAATGATATATGAATGGGTTTCCTAGTGCAAAGTTACCAGCGCAAAGTGCTGGCCCATGAGCACCAACTTTCCTGCTGTTGTTTTTATCAATGCAGCTGCATTTGTGGCCACAATTACCATTTCCAGACCCTTCTTGGTGGCTAAACGAAGTAGTGGGAAGCAAAGAAAGAATGTGAATATATACTAAGAGAGAGGGAGAGAGGTGGTGTATTAAAGTGGAAGTAAGTTTTTCCTTTTAAAGGAGGGGGCCCTGAAGCTTTTAGCCAAACTAATCTCCCCCTTTCGTTCCTCCCACACCAGTGCTTCCATCTTCCTCCCGGTATTTTTCAAGGTTTGGAGTCATTGACCGTGTAAAAAGCCGGGCCCTGATGACATAGTGTGCATGCATGTGCACGGAAGCTACTTCATCTCAGCAGGCGGGCTCTGTGCACTGAGAAAAAAAAAATTGCCGAATGGTAGAAAGAAGTTTTTATGGCAGAAGAGACGTACACTGTCTCTACTCTGATATAAAACCTGCTGATCGGCCTTTACATGCCTTTATTTCCACTTTAGGCAAATATATTACTTTGCCCATATAGGTTCACTTCAAAAAGATGCAAATCTGTGTTATTATGATAATTGTATAACTAGCAGTAGGTAAAACAATACATTGTACCAATACTAGTGCACCTGATATTATAGTGTACCTAGTTTTAATACATCTCAACACATGTTTAAGTAATATATGAATGATGCTATTAAAACACAGAATTATATTTGTCAAACATGCTCTGAAAAGTGCTCCACAAATATAGCAGATTGGTGACACTTGGACGGACATCTATTATCCTGTTCACCTTATTCCTCACATTTTGTGGAAATAACATTTACACATTATCTGTCTGTTTCAAAAAACACAAATCCACTTAAAACATATTTAAACCTCCCCAAAATGTAATCCTGCAAGTAATACATGCCCTGTCCTAGGGTGACTATGCTCACTCACTGCTTTCTATAACTTTGGAAACCAGTTCCCAGGACACTTGAAAATAAAATCTCTGCTTTTCTTTAAGTTGTCCGTGTATGTTTCCTTTAATTAGTCATGCATTTCATTATTTCACTATTTACTTTTTAATTAATAGGACCTGAAGCAACACAGGTGGCCGTTCTTCAGTATGGATGGACTCCTCAGCTGGAAATTGCATGGACAGACCCCCAGAACAGGGAAGGCTTGATAAAGGGGCTGGATACTATGCAGAAAATGGAAAGGGGGCCTAGCAAAATCGGTAAGCATCTTTCCTGGGTGATGAGAATACCAAGTACAACACAACTGTAGTGTATTTAATTGTCCAGACTGTGGGTAACCTGGACTGGGGAATTTGCTGTGTAATACTTCCACTTTCACTAAACGAGTATTGAATTGAACTGTCCATAAATTTGCCCTGGGATGAAATCACAATTGTTGTGCTGTGCTGAACCTGGAAAACAAAATTGAAAGCTGTTTTTTTAACATGATGTATTGAAGGACATGGCATGTACACAATGCTTTTGTATGTGAGTAATGATACTTACCACATACAACTAGTAGGTGGCCTTAAAGTGAATTGAAACCCAAAAAGTGAAGTTTCACTATCTTAATGTGGACATCTAGAAGTGTTCATTGTGCCTAATCAGTATTCTTAATGATCTATCTTTTACCTTAAATTCCTCTTGAAAAATGGCAGTGCACTAACTGTGCCTAGGCAAATCTGTTCTGCAGTGCCAGATCATCTAAGGCACTGCTGTGTCTGACTACTAGCTTCTCCACATTAGGAGTGAGATTTGGTGATGTCACTATTGTTGTGCCCACTGTCCTTGCTGGAGCGGGCAAGCGCGCAAGGATCGCCCTGCTTTTGCATCATCCATTTTGTAGATTTGTGCATCCTACACGTCTCGTGCTGCTTTTTTGTATATTCTCACACTAGACACTAAATCACTAGTTATTGGGGGGGGGTGTTAGCTTGGAAATGAGGAAGCGGAGCCCTGCCTCTTTCTAGATGGCTACCTTCACACAGAGACACCGCTCCTAGCCATTTACTTGTCTTTTTTGCGTACACCCTCCACAGTACAGGCCCTCTTAAAGCACATGATCTATGCTCTTTGATGGTTCCTCCTTGCATCTATTGTACTACAAATAGACCTAATTGACATAAAGAAAGGACATTCCCCCCTGGAGAAAATGACCTAATCTAAATTAGTAAATTAATACAGCCTGCCAAAAAACGTACAAGGAGCCATGGGCTTTTTAGTAAGAAAATAATGGATCCACCCTGTAATAAATGTAAAACAGAAATTTTTATACAAATAATTAAAAAAAGGTTACAACACATTGGCTTATAAACATTCAAAAATTAAGTCTTGTATAGTTTTCCTTTAACAGCCTTATAACTTGTTATTACAAAGTAATCTGTAGATCATTGTAACTATATGATGCCGCCAATTCGACGCAAAGGACATATACTTTAGCAGCAGACCAAACTCAGCATTCCATTATCTATTGGCAAGTTTACTAACAGCAGCAGCAATACTCTTCTGAGATATTGAAATTCTTGTAGTGCTTAAAAAGTGAATTTTTTTGTATTAAGCAGGGTTCCCGAAGCCAATGTAATATATATTCATTTAAAACATGTAATTAAAGACTCTCATTCAGTTTTATAGAGAGTAAAGAGGATGCCAAGTTTAAAACATCTGTAAGCAAGATTTAATGGGTTGGCAAATGACTGAAAATGCAAGATTAAAGTGATTTACATGTTTTGTGCAACATGTTGTTTTCTGTGCGTATAGATGTCAAATGGGAATTTTCCTGTCACATTTTGGTAGACAATAAATACAGTAATTTAGTGTGCTAGAAATTTAAAGTCGAATTCCAGCAATTAGCCAAATATAAAGACTTAGCAGGTTATTCACTATTGAGCGGAAGTATACAGCCGTAGATTCGGCTGATCCTTTGGCTCTCTTTGGCTGCCTCTGCCCTTCGGTTCAGGCATATGCTTCGTCTCGACTGCACTGAAGTGACAGCCGTAGCCTAGAGAAAGGTCGGCCGAAGCCGACCGATCTCCATGCAAATGACAGCTGGGCGGAGCCAGTCATGATCTCACGGCTCGCTCCGCCCAGTTGTAATGACAGATCAGTGTCCCCAAATGACCTGGGGACACTGATCTGTCATTAAAAAATAACACATGGGCGGAGCCGGCTGTGACATCACGGCTGGCTCAGCCCAGTTGTTATTCATTGGCCGGTACCTGCTAGAAGACTCTGGCAGGTGCTGGCCAATAGGAAACAGTTGGGTGGAGCTAGCAGTCACTGCTAGCTCCACCCAATTGTTTTCATTTGCCGGCATCTGTACTGGCGTTTTGTTTTTGTTATCTTTAATTTTCTTTTCTTTAAACTACTAATTTCTTTTTACTTTTCCTATTTTCTTACATTTTGTAAATAATTTTTCAAGTTTTTTCTTTTTCTATTCATTTCACTCTTTTTCTATTCTGCTCACTACCTCAGAGGTACCGAGCAGAATAGCCAAGCCGAATGCTGCTCGGCGGCATTCGGCTATTCAGTTACTGCGGCTCGGCCCCTATGAGAATAGGGGCGAACGGGAGCGAGTGAGCTGCCGGAGCTACTGCTCAGCCGATACAGATGTTGGGTCGGCTGACTCGAAGGACTTGCACACTTCAGCTCAGCCGATCATGCAGAGCATGTTGGGTTGACCGAAGGTTGCCGATGTACGGCTGACTTTAGGCGATGTACAGCTGAAATCAGCCGTACAAGCCAGAAGTGAATAACCGAACAGCATTCAGCTCACTTCACTTCGACTGAATTATTCACTCGGCTGCCTTTGGCAGCTTTGTGAATAACCACCTAAATATTTATATATAAGAGAAATAATTTACCTGCCAAAGGAATTGTATTTCCGTCCATTACACAGCTTTTTCACAGCATGCCCCTGGCAGGACAGTAAACCTATGTTTTCTCTGCTGCAGTTAAGTAACAGTTACAGGTCGTGTCCGTCCCTCAGCCTGTGAGTACACATTAAAGGGAGACACAACAGCCTCATGAGCTCATCTCTCTGTCACTCTGCTCTTTTCTGCTGTCAGCATGATCCTTGTTAGCACATGAACATTACAGCACCAGTAATTAAAGTGTATGTACAGGCAAAACTTTATTTTTAGTTTCAGATAGAGTAGCAATGGGTTAGAACACCTCCTGGATTTATATTGCTGTCTGTGTCCCATCTTGGAAGATTCACCCCTCTCTATGTATCCTGCTGACCATTGTCACAAAAAGTGATGTCAAATACACAATTATAGAGCTGTCATCATACTAAGAACTGAGGGAAAATCTTTCAATGGGGACGAGGGTTCTAGGAACAACAGTCTAGGATCGGAATTCCCCTCACTTTGGGCAGTTTTCTCTCCTTTCATGTTGCATCTCCAGAACAGGAAATGAAATATCCCCAGCGGGACACATACAGCAAAATATAACATGATGGGGACTTCCCTACTCCATGTAAAACAAAAAACTTTTGGCTTTATGTACATTTTAGTTTCTCACACTCCCAGTCTGAGCTCTTCTGTACAGTGGATTGCAGGAGTCTACGTAAATAGTAGCATGGAGAGTGAACAAGAGAGTCTAGTTTAGCAACAGAAGTCCAAAGCACAGTGCAAGATAATGGCAAACAAAAGCTTGACTATTAAACTCTCCAGGTTCAACAACAGGCATAGAAACTGAAAGTAAGGTTGTGGTTGAAGGCCCACCTAAAAGACACATGGAAACAGTCAGGCAAGCAAGAGCAATGGCACAGAGACCAGGTATCAGGTAACAAGGGTTAGGTCTCAGTGCCAGGAACACCATACAATGTACAGGCAGCTTCCTGTGCTTGGAACAAGGCTTATAAATGCGACAACCTTAAAGTAGTATTAATCTCTCTCTAACGTTTTTCAATAATGAATCCAGATCAAACAAATTTACATTGAGCAGCAAAGTATTTATTTGCTAAAGCACTTACAGTCATCTTGTTTCCAAGCAGCTGCAACTCTCTCAGCTCGGCTTCCCTGAACTTCCTGTCCAGTACAAGATCACAAGGGATAGCGCATTCTCCAGCAGTTGTTCATCTTCTAGCTCAAAAATGGGAGGAAGGAGAAGGGAGGAGGGGGTAGCAGGGGAGTGGATTACATTGCTGTGTCTGTGTGTTTATGGAGACACACACAGATTACTAGCACACACAAGAGTGGCTCATAGGACTCTGCAAGGGAAAGGAGCCACCCTAAAAAAGGATATCAGGGCCAGTGCTCAGGTGACCAGCTGATTCTGCAGGAAACTAAAACTTTTAAACATCAAGAAGTAACATCCGTTGTAAGCAATTTAATCAGCATTAGATATAGCTCAAAAACCTTTTGTCTTTAATATCACTTTAATTAATGAGGGGCATGTGTGAGGATTGTTTATGCACATGATTGCTGCATCTGCACTAGTCAGATGACATACTATGCTATAAAGAGCACCTCATGATCCAAAGCATCCAAGCAACCGAACACCAATGAGGTCACTGCATAAAAACAATTTTATTGAGCTCTAAGCATGCCACACAGTCCCCTTCGCCCACTCTACGTGTTTCACTCTATAGGGGCTTAGTCTTAGAGATAGGTCGTGACTGGGGTGGGAAGGGAAAGTGTGCAGGAACAGTGATGGGGGTTGAGTTGAGATTGGAGTATATGCCGGATTTCCCACAAGGCCAACCAAGGCCTGGCCTCGGAGCAGCAGGGAGTAGAGGGGCAGCAGGTGTTTGGAATTCCTATCTCACGATGCCCAGGACATGCAGTTCCGGGTGCCTAGCGGGTAGTAGTTTTCTACATTTAACCCTGCTTTGGGCAAGCAGAGCTAAATGTACAGCAGGGAAGCCGCCGCTTGTTTTGTACAATTGATCTCGGCGAGATCACTTGTATGCAGCCTGCAGGTCTGCCATTCTCTATGGGATAGGGGGGGGTGGCGGATAGGGGGGCGCATCGGGGAACCTGGCCATGGGGCAGCAGAGAGAGTAAATTCGGCCCTGAGTATATGCAGGCACGCAGTTGAGAGCTGGGGTGAGTTGGAGAATGAAGGGATGAGGGTCAGATGCATGGTGAGATGAGGGCAAGTGTCCTGCAGGCTTGGTGGTGAGAGTAGGAGCGATGGGCATGTAGGTATAGTGATGAAAATGGGGGATTGAGGGGGGCTGCATCCAGGGTTTTCACAGTAGATGGGGGTACTGGCAGAGTGCTGACAGCAAGGGGGTGCTGCCATCACTTTTTCCTATGATTGTCCCCCTTCTTCACTCCAGTAGCACTATAATTAATGGCGCTGAAGCTCCTAAACAGTTTGCAGTTGGGTGTGTAATCATGGTGAACGTAACTGGTCTATTGAAAGATGGTGGCAATTTTGCATATGCACAATTATCAACAAAGTGGGTAACATTGACTTTTTAAAAATCCGTATTAAATTATTTTCTTTTCTTTTTTTTTTATAGGAGATGCATTGCAGTATGCTGTCCAGAGTGTCATTTCGGAAGTGCATGGAGCAAGACCTAGCTCCTTTAAGATCGCAGTTATCCTTGTTGCAGACAAATCAGTAGATCAAGTTAATGATGCCGCAGACTCAGCTACAACAAACAGTAATATTCTGACCGCTTTCTATTACTGCTTAACAAGGATTTTTTTCCACAAATACAATAAAAACACATCAGAATGTATCTGCAGCTCCCAGCCTGTTCCATAGTAAGGGATGTTCTTCAAATTTCATGTGGTCAGTGGTAGACAAACTCCTCTGCAGTCTGTGATGCTGCAAATTGACCCCAAAAAATGAGGGTGAGGGTTAATCCAGAGCTATTACCATGATGGGCCATGGTGAGGATTTTACAAAAACACAAAAATTCCTCAGCCTCAACCTGCCAGCCAGCCTGCAACCAAACAAGTAGCCCTGTCAACAGTATGCGTTTGGTTGCAGGCTGGCTGGCAGGTTGAGGCTGGGGAATTTTTGTGTTTTTGTATTGTTGTAAGCCTTCCCAATGTGCTCCCTGCTATAAAGGCTGGTTATGGATTCATGCATGTACCACTTTTTTCTATGGTGAGGATTTTGCCTCAAGTGCTTGAATCTGAGGCTGGATGGAGACTAGATCTTTGCTGGTCTTGTGGTCCTCAACTGTCTCATGCTTATATATATAGTGGGGGATCTGTTGACCATGTGTGTCCTTGGTGGAAGGGGAATTTTAAGTGCTTTATCAGGAGACATTCATGGGCCATCCAGGTAATACAGGGTAACTACAATATGTATAATTTGGTCAAGATTAAAGAGGTAGGTCCTTTCCTTCCAAAAGGGTATTATGGGACATCTGTATAGGGAACATACTTGAAGGATATTTAAGGACTTTTGCATATGGGAAAATTCAGCATGCTTTCATGTGCCGTCAGCTTGCATTTGAGATGCTTTTGAGATCCTTCTAGGTGCATCTCCTGGTAACTTTCTTTTTACTACCTACTAAGCTGTGTCAAGTAGCCTTAAGCTGCCTTAGAAAACATTCTAATTTACTTTTATGGGGATCCATCAGTGTTGGTTACAACAGAGCAAATTATGTTACTGATGTGGGGCATATGACTGATGGTGCAGTTGGTGCAAATGGGTTGGTTAATGGTAATATGTAGCAGGGAACAGAGGTAAAATGGGCAACTGTGCTTGCAGGCCTACCTAACATGATTATTCAGGTTGAAAAATACACATGCCCATTGAGTTAAACCACTTAAAAGTGTCCTCAGAGTTCCGGCCAAAGAGGAAGTCTTGCTGAGAGGCACCATGCCATGGTGGGACAGTACGCACATGTGAGGACTACCAGTGAGAGGCATCAAATAAGGGCCCAAACGGTTTATATAGTACTTTATAGCTTGTGTTTACCATTGCCTACTCATTCTGGAACTATTAAAACTGTTGCTTGCAGTAGTTGTTTTAAAATATAATTTATACATTTTATCTAACTGGGGTTAATATAGCTTGTGGCTAACAAATAACATTAGTCATAACAGTCATTGTTTGTATTGTTTGGGCTTCAGATAAAACCACAAGTTTGAAGTTCTTCTTTTTTTATCAAGGGATCTCTGTTTTCCCAATCGGAGTTGGATCCCACTATGATGAGGATGAATTATCCATCCTAGCTGGCCCATCTGCTGACAACAAGATCACAAAGCTGCAACTTTTTGAAGACCTGCCAACTATTCTCCTGCTGGGACATGACTTTATTAACAAGCTGTGCACTGGTAAGTTTGGCGATGTCTATACAGATGCTAAATATAGACTGGGTTTTGGACAAGAAAGGTCATATTAAACCTATTCTCCAGAAAACTTAGCTGTGTATAGGTCTACCTCAAGCCAACATTCAATGTCAAAAAATATCTGAACAGCAGAGGTTGAAGATGTTATTGTAAATGGATCCCATTCATATGTTTGGTTTCTTGTAACAATCTGTTCTCACCTGCATCAAGCTTGCAGATCTGGGGCAGATAATTCTGTCTCCTCTTCTGGGGTATGTGTTAGTGCTGACTGATGCTGGGGCTTCTCCTTCACCACCATCTACTAGACCTTCTCCTGCTATGCAGCAAAACCATGAAAAACGTCATGGTTTCACAGTTGACCGCCCTCGTTACCTGTAACATGGGGCGAGTGAGGTACTCGCCGGGGGCGCAGCCATGGCCAGCCTGGCTGCGCCCGCTCTCCCTGTTGCCAGGGCGAGCACAGGGCGCCATTGGCAACAGGGGAGCCAGGCGGCCAACACAGCCACGGCTCTGCAGAGAGAAGAGCAGCAGCACAGGCTCCAGCTTCTGCTCTGAAGCCCGCTGCTCTCCCCCGCCCGTATGGGCAGAGGACTACGTGTCCTCAATCTCTTTATCTA